TTTGCTATGTTAAATAAATGCTTAGCTTTACAAAGCTGCCAGAGTGCTTTCCAAAATAATCACACCATGCTACATGGGCAGCAACAATCAATCTAGGACAATTCCATTTCCTTGCCAGTGTTTAAAAGCATCGTCCAGGGGCCCAGAACAATGGCTCAATGAGCTAATCCTCCCCCTCTTCAAGTGCTGCCATCTCATATGGACACTGATTCACACCCAGACTTCACTTCCCATTCAGCTCCCTGCTTGTGTGGCCTGGAAAAGCAGCAGAGGATGGCCCAAAATCTTGGACCCACGTGCCCCTGTGGGAGAACAGGAAGAAACTTTGGCTCCTGGCTTTGGATTGGCTCAGCTCGGGCCATTCCAGCCATCTGGGGAGTGAATCAGTAGATGGAAGATCTTTCTCTGGCTCTCCTTTCTGTAAATCTGCCTTTCCAATAAAAATAAATAAATCTTTAAGAAAGAAAAGCAAAAAGAAGAAAACATCATCATGGTTTTCATCTCCACTCCGCTAATGACATTTAGAGTCTCTTCATGCTGCACATTGACCATTGATAGCTCCTCTTATTGAACTAACTATTCAAATTTCTTGTCCTTTGTTAAAATTAGATTCCTTTTTCTTATTGGGTTTTGAAAATACATATTCTAGATGCAAGTTCTCTATCTTATACATAATTATCAAATATGCTCTAAATTTTTTTTTACAGCCACTTCCTTCATCCTCTTCAATGTTGAAGATCAGAAATTCTTAATTTTGACAAAGTTCTATATTTTTTTTTGTTTTGAGTTTTTAGTGACAGAGCCAAGAAATTTTGGCATGACTACAGATCACATAGATTTTCTTATTTTCTGCTAGAAGTTTTATATAGCCTTTGGTTTTACATTTAGGTCTGTCTTTTCCAAGTTATTTTTTATACATGGGGCATGTATGTATAAATTTCACTTTTGCTTATAGATATATAATTCAGCATCATTTATTTGAAAGACTTTTTTCCACCGAAATGCTTATGCACCTTTGTTGAAAATCAATTAATGAGGCCAGCATTGTATCATGGTAGGTTAACTTGCTTTTTGTAACACCTGCATTCCATATTGGGTTCCCAAGTTGGTCAGAACCCTGGTTGTTACACTTCCAACCCAGCTCTACTAATACACCTGGGAAAGCAGCAGAAGAAGGGACAAGGATCCAAGTAGGTAGACCCATCATAAGCACTTGGAAGACCAGGCTGGGACGACACTTGGTTCCAGGCTTGTAACTTGTCTAGCACAGTCCCAGTCATTTTAAGAGCAACAAGTCATATGAGTCTTAGTCTTTTAAAGTAGCCATTGAGAAATGAACTAGTAGTACTAAGATTTCTGTCTTCTCCTTCCTCTCTGTAACTCTGCTTTTCAAATAAATATTTTTGGGGGGCCCACCACAGTAGCCTAATGGCTAAAGTACTCACCTTGCATGCATTGGTATCCCATATGGGCATCAGTTTGTATCCCAACTGCTCCATTTCCCATCCAGCTCCCTGCTTGTGGCCTGGGAAAGCAGTAGAGGATGGCCCAAAGCCTTGGAACCCTGCACCTCTGTGGGAGACTCAGAAGAAACTCCTGGCTCCTGGCTTTGGATTGGTGCATCTCCAGCTGTTGTGGCTATTTGGGGAGTGAATCATCGGACAGAAGATCTTTAAGTCTTTCCTTCTCTCTGTAAAATCTGACTTTCCAATAAAAATGCATAAATCTGCAAATAAATATTTTTTAAAGTGTGTGTCATTCAAAAGCTTATTTTAAAAAAACTTAAAAACAACACTTACCCATAATGCCATCACCTTCACATTTCACTTTAACTTCCTTCAGTCTGAAATGGGTAATATTTTTAAACCAAATTATTCATTAGCTTTCCCCTTTTCCTTTTCTAGCATCTCACCCCCATTTCAGGAAATGAGTCACAGAAGTGCATAATTTGGCAAGGCCCTATTTAGGGAGGTTCTTTCCAGTGGTTTGAGATGTTTGGCAAGTAGAATCATCTTCCAGCACACTTGATTTGCAGCTTGAGCCATTATTACCAAGTGATGTGATCTTCCCTGTGTCTAAATAGCCGGAACACATCTGAACTCCTTTTCTTCCTTCTAACCCTTGGTTGTTCGTGGTTAAATCACATCTGTACTTTTCAAGTCAATGTTTCTCATTCCTTGCTGCCCTACAGAAACGTCTGATATTTAATAAACTAGATGAAAGGTTTCCACAGACTAATTTAGAATCATGGGCACTAGAATTGGAGTTAAGAACCTGTATGCTTAGTTTCCCAACCAGGCCTTTTCCCAGCCATAGATCTTGCACATGCCAGTGATTGCTCTGACCCAGTTTGGCATAGTCCCTCACCTGCCTTACCCTTTGTCTTTGAATGCGGTAGCCTGTTTCTTTGGAAAACTCCAATACAGCTATCTTTTTTTATAAGAGGCAGAGACAGCATTTCCATCCACTGGTTTACTCCCCAAATGCTCAACATGGTCAGGCTGCAGCCAAGACTTGGAAATGCAATGCAGCCTCCCACCCAAGTGGCAGGAACGCAGAGATCTGAGCAATCACCGCTGCCTCAGAGGGTCTGTTTCAGCAGGGAGCTAGAGCCATCAGAGCCATGCACTCCGAGGTGTGATGCAACTGTCTTAACCGCTAGGCTAAATTCCAGGTCCCTACTTCCGAAATTCTTCAACAAAACTCCAATTATAATGATCACTCTGGTTAATTCTTATTGCACTTAATCCCTTACATTTAAGTACATTAGCTTTCAACTGTGTTCTATGAATTATGGAAAAAAAACTTTAAATGTTATTTCTAACAGGAATGCAAACTTTGTAGTAAGGCTTGGATTCTGTTACACATTTGATCTCCTAGTTGATATTCTGGGCATGTGACAGGCACAACTGGATGACTCATTCATTATTTCCCAACAAGCTTTTTCTAAACTGGGGCTACAGAGGGTCACAAATTGCCAGAATTTTGGACTTGGCCAAAAAAACCTTTTGGAACAAAACAAAAAGACCTAGATTTACATGTCAGTGTTTTATAATCTGTATTCTGGGCGCCTTCCTGAATTATGCATGATTTTTCCTTACTTCTTTTTACCTACATAATTAAGATTTGATACACCATGATGAATCACAATGATAAAATGCTGGAGACAGAAAAGTAGGGTTAGAAAGAAACAAAATCAAGCATCAGGAATAATCTCCAAAACTGAGAATAAGGAAGAAATTTTTGCTTATCTTCCAGCAGATGTCAGTGGAAACATCTGTGAAGCTTCTATATTCATTTGTGACTAATGGTAAACATGAAGCAGATATAGTTTGACTGATATAAAATGGCTATTAACTATCATATCATTTTTATCACATTATTGCCAAATGATTCTAATTCATATATTTTTTAAACATTGTACCCAATTCCGCATTTTCTCAGTGATTATTTGACAAGAATATTTAAAGATACACAATGCCATCAACATATAACCTCATGGCTCAACAGTTCTCTGACCTTTTTCTCATCATCTCCAACATTCCCCAATTATGGCTCCTCTCTGTTAACACTACCGGCCAATACCAAGCTTCCTTTCCTCCTTTCCCTAGGGTGCTGGATGATCTTAAAGACAGGTGAGGGGATCGAAGGGTGAAGGTTCAGAGGGAGGACATGACTCACACATTCACAGACACTTGGCAGGTCTGCCCTTGCAACCTATTTGGAGCTGATTCTCAAACTTCCCATAGCCTTCCGAGAAAGGGGATGGATGACAATAACAAACTTTGGACTGTTGTTGAAATCAAATGAGAGAAAATATGATAGATGCGGCATTCAGACCTTGGGACCAAAAACCAGAGTTAGATAATGAGCAGAATCAACGCGTGCTCTTATCACAACAGGAATCTTTAAGTAAACAGCCATCCGTGGCATTGCATCTTGAGGCAAGACATGAGCAGAAAATAAAGTGAATCTCTTCTTTAGAAATAATTTTTAGAAACTTTCATTTACCCTACATTTTAAGTCAATTTGTGTCACATAAAATGCATTATAATGTATTTTCATGCAAGCTGTATTTTAGACATAAACTGCACGTTAGTCGCTGCGATGAACAACGGCCTATGGCTCTTATGTAAAGAACCACCTTTCTCTTATAGAAGTGCAGCAAGAACAAAACCAAAAAGCAAAAAACAAAAAAAAAGGAAGAAGAATGGCATTGATTCATTGATTAATCCTGAGAAAATCCAGGAACTACATTCTTCTGATTTCCTACATGCCATCAGACATTGGCACAAATAGGAAAACAAGGTCTCTCAACCTTGACACTTAACAGATAACTCTTTGGGGAGATGTCCTGGACACTGCACACTGTTGGTGATGTCTCATCCCTCCATGCATTAGATGTCACCTATACCATCTTATCCTGCTGTGACAACCAAAAATGTCTCTGAACATCGCTAAATGCCCTGTGTTAAGGAAAGTTTTAGCTGAGAGCTTTTATTAAAAAGTAGGAAAATAAATCAGAATCGGGTATTCATTGAAAAAAGCTCTGTGAGTACAACCTCAGAGAATCGACTTGTCTTCATGCGCTTCACCCATGTGTCCCCTGTTTCATCTTTCCCAGTAGAGTATCTCAAGGTACACACCACACTCCAGAGGCAAGAAGATAACTTTATTTTGCTGTCCAATTATTTTCTTATAAAACCTCAGTGTTTGCTAAAATAAAACAAATTTTTAGTACCATAGAAACTTTGTTGCATGTACAACATAATATTACAATATACAACGTCAAAAACAAATGCTTCCAGCTCCAAGCAAAGTGCTGTTGAAACATCCTGACTGTAGTTAATGCCGCAGGAAATTTCCTGTATAATCAATGGTCTCCTTGGCTTGGAAAAAAAAAAATTTATACAGTTGAAGATATAAATAAGAGCTTCAGTGAGCTGATCATCATAAAAATGTTATCTGAAGTCTGGTCATCTAACCCTCAGGATGATCAGTCTAAGAGTTCAATGAGTAAAGTCAATCTCCGTAGATATTGCAATGTGGGTCCCTAGCAGACACCCTGCAGGTTCACAGCTGGTCTACCAAAAACAAAAGCTATTCTTCTCGTGGTGGCACTCGGCGTCTTACTTATATGCCATTTTTCACCAGCTCATGGACTCCATTCTCATCAATGATTAAAGGTGCATGAAATTCTTTATCTGCCACATAACTTTCTAGACCCTAAAAGAAAGATGAAAACAAAACAAAATAAAATTAGTGGGTGCTTCTCATGCAATGCTGGACTTCCTGGCTATAACATGCACACCTAGACTTGGGTTGAGAGGAAGAATTCAAAAACCAACATTTACCACACAGTTTTGAAACTAAGCTTAAGGACTCACTTACGGAAACAAAAACAACATCATCAAAAATTAACCTGACCACAATCTCCAAAGTTAAGATGATGTTCTTTCATCCTATAATCATCACCCAGTAGACCTAACAAGGTGATTGTCACTTATGCTACAATTAAGCAGCACCAACAAGGATCCCCAAGAAAAAAAAAATGCATACTTGGAAAAACAGAAATCCTTACACTCAGGTTTTTTTAAATGACCGTATAAAGTATATGAACAAAACAGAGCCCTTAAAAAAAAGCACACTGCATTAAAAAGTGCCAGATGGGGCCCGGGTGATAGCCTAGTGGTTAAAGTCCTCACCTTGCATGCGCAGGGATTCCATATGGTTGCCGGTTCTAATCCCAGCCACCCTGCTTTCCATCCAGCTCCTTGCTTGTGGCTGGAAAAGCAGTGGAGGACAGCCCAAAGCCTTGGGACCCTTCACCCACGTGGGAGACCCAGAAGAAGCTCCTGGCTCCTGGTTGCAGATTAGCTTAGCTCCAAACATTGCACTCACTTAGGGAGTGAACCATCAGACAAAGATCTTCCTCTCTGTCTCTCCTCCTCTCTGTTTATCTGCCTTTCCAATAAAAATAAATAAATCTTTAAAAAAAAAAAAGTGCCAGATGATTTAGCTAAAAAACAAGGGCCTGGCACGGTAGCGGCTAAAGTTCTCGCCTTGAATGCACTGGGATCCCATATGGGCACCGATTCTAATTCCGGCAGCCTCACTTCCCATCCAGCTCCCTGCTTGTGGCTCAGAAAACAGTCGAGGACGGTCCAAAGCCTTGGGACCCTGCACCCGTGTGGGAGACCGGGAAGAAACTCCTGGCTCCTGGCTTTGGATTGGCACAGCTCCGACCATTGGGGCCGCTTGAGGAGTGAAATCAACGGATGAAAGGTCTTCCTCTCTGTATATCTGACTTTCCAATAAGAAAAAAATAAAATAATTCTTACAAAAAAAAAAAAAAAAAAAGACTGGTGGCTAGCACTGTGGTGTGCAGCTAAAACTACCACCTGTGGTACCCAGCATCTCACACTGTGCTGGGTCAAGTTCCAGCTACAGCTACTGGCTGGGGAAAGCTGCAAAAGGTGGCCCGAGGCCTTGGACCCCTGCACCCATGCAGGTGATCCAACAGAAGCTCCTGGCTCCTGGCTTGAACAGGCCCAGCTCCAGCCAATGCAGCCACTCAGGGAGTTAACCTGGAGATGGAAGACCTCCTCCCGCTGTCTCCTCTTTGTAACTCGAATGAAGTAAGTAAATGTAAAATCTAAAAACACTAAGATTGCATTTTTAAAAGGCCTGTTTCATATAAAGGGACAGGTAAAACAGGCTCGCCATCACAGATTTCTGCGATCGGCAATTGCTTCACTGTGGGATAGACGGAAAGCTGCAACCCACAACTGATACAGCTGCACAGGTCCTTCCCAGGACGAGCTGCTTGGGCAGGGCCACCAGCTAACACTGTGTGTCCTTCAGGGGCAATTCCACACAACCCTACATTTAGAAGAAAGGGGAGGCAGGTGAACTTACCTCTCCGGCATAGGAGATGAGAGGAGAGATTTCACATTGGATCGGGACATCGTTGGCATCTTTCAAGCTAAGAAAAAAAAAAGCACGTGTTAAGGTGTGGGGAGGGGGAGAGGAACTGCTCTAACGATCAGTTCAAGCCTTCCAGTTTCCTGCCAGAGTGAAAGTGCAGAGAAGCTCGCAGATAACAAATCCCGCTGATTAAACAAGGAGGGTAGGTCCTACCATAAACAGGCACTACATCCTGCAAGTTCAATGAAGTCCTTACAGTCAGAAAGACACTATTTGGGACAGATGTCCAGAACTGCTAGGGGCTCCGTACAGCACTTTGCCAACAGTCGTGCACTCTTCCTGGGGTTAGCGCTCTCTTTGTAACATTTCATAGTTTGGTTCTGATCAAGTAAAGGCTAATAGGCTTACTACTAGACGGTCTGAATCTTTCGTTTTTTGTTTTAATCCTCACCACAACCTTGCAAGTATTAACGCCGACAAACATTGTAAAGGTTGCACTTCAATACAGTACCTACTTAAACAGGAATACTTCTTAAAGTTAGTTAAAAATTAGAAACTCGACCTTTCAGTCATAATAATTATATCTCACTGGTGGCTAATGACTGCATAACGCAGGCACGCGACATTCCCTTTACTGCGGAAAATTCTCACTCCCGCGCTGAAGATCAGTTCAGTATTTCATAGTTTGCGGTTGCTCTTAGACAACTCAAATCTCTTAGATGAGCTGGGCTGACTTATTCACTTTGCTCCAAAGAACTCTGTTTCCAGAAGCCTCCTTCGAGGGAGCTAGAGCAGACGGCAGCAAAGCGCAGGCCACGCAGTCACTGACTCCAGTGCTTCTGTAGTCACCTTCCAACATTTAGAGCTGTCTGCTGGATTGTTCCAAGTCATTTTCAACTAGGACCTTCTAATTTTAATAACAATACCCAATCTCCAGGATTCGCTTCAAGTCCCAGCTTTACCTCTGACCACTGCACTTCACGGCTATTGTTCCCATTCATGTATTTACATAAAAAAATAAACTCTCCTTAAAATGAATCCTGGCTGTTAACATATATTCAGCACATAAACACAAACTGACTAATAATGTCTCTTAAACCTTTAGCATCCCTAGCCCCCCGCCACCAGTAAGCGAGCAGAAACTATCTCTCATGTAAGATACTACAGCATCCAGGATATGAAACAGCACCTGTAGGTCTGTGAGCAGCCCTGTTTGCTGGCTGGATGAATACAGTATGAGGGCAGATGGCTGACAGCCTAATGCACAGAGGGAAGGCCCAGACTGGGTACCTATCTGTCCGAACACACGTCGGATTCTGCCACAAGAACTCAAGAGGTCCAGTACAGAGCAGCTGGGAAAACTCAACGGTTACATAAAACACGAGGCTGTAGCCCGCTGACAAGATGCAGACAGGCCAGTTCCACCTAACCCCTAAAAGGACTCAGTGCACTAAAATCCTAAGATGGCCCTGAGTCCAAGAAAGAGAATTTCCATTCTAGCACCACCAAGATGCCTCCAAAGGCTTAGGAAATCAACTTTAGTAAGCCAAAATGTATTATTCTCTCCCTTTCCTAAAGAAGGGAAGACAGCAACAACTGTCCACAATTTAAAAACTCGAAATACAGGATAATCAGCTAAGTTATACTTCCACACCCTCAGTCTTTAAGCAGACCTGTGCCCGGGTAGCTCACGGGGCTCAGTAAGCAACCAGGTGAAAACCCAAAGCCTACAAATTCAGCATCCTGGCTTTTTCTCAGAACAGCTCCAAGCTCCTGTCACAGAGAATAGTGTGTTCTCATCTCTCTCTTTTAAGGAATCTTTTTCAACTCTCTGAGGGCATTCTTTGCTGTTAAGGTTTTCGGCAAAAAAAAAGTATTTCCAAATCCACACTTTTATTTGGCTTCAGTTGAATTCCTCTACAAATGGCTAAAATGAAGTAAAGGAGAAGGGCTGGAACTAAACCACAGGACTAAAATTAAAATAACGTTTGAAAACATTTTGTATCTTCATTAAAATAGTTAGACGCTATTTTTTCAGCAGCAAAATTAAGAAGTTTCACTTTTTGGGCTAAAAGTTATGGTTCACTGGGAAGGAAATGTGGGTCAATGTCTTATTTCCTAAACTGCAGAGCTTGCTTCCACAAACTAACAATGATGCTGGAGGCAGAAAACAGCAGAGGGCCTTGCATCCTAACTCCTGGGGCCCCAGGGACAAAGTCATTAGGGATCCCAGACGTAACCCACAAGGCCTTGAGGGCCACTCCCTCTTGTTTTCTTTTTTTTAAAGATTTATTTATCTTTATTGGAAAGGCAGATATACAGAGAGGAGGAGAGACAGAGAGAAAGCTCTTCCGTCCAATGATTGGCGCTCTCAGGCCCTGTCCCCGTGGGGGAAGATGATGGCATGGGCCTCACAAGGCACGAGGGACGGACTGGCATCCGCGTGGCTCTCCAGCTGGGCTCACCCCCAACCCCAGAGCCTCTGCCCGAAAGGCATTTCCCCCATGACCTTGAAAATTCAGACCAGATCTGGTGACCTTTAAAATACAGTGAGAACATCAAATGACTGGTTATCTTTTTTTCCTACAGCAATTTAGAACTATCAGTACCCAGAGAGAATATGTGCAACTTCCAGCTTAAACACACACACACACACACACACACACACACACACACACACAAAGGCTCTACTCTTAAGATAAAAAGGTACTTTCCTTAGAAACAAGACAATAGCTAACCAAAACTAAGACACGGGCTAAAACATGAAATGGATGGTTTTCCCTCCCACCTCCTACCCCACATACCAGTTTTCCCCATCTTATACAAAATAAACACTTCAGGGGCCAGGCTTGTGGTAGAGTGAGTTCAGCTGCAGCACTGACATCCCATAAAGGCACCAGGTCAAGTCCCCGCTTGAACTTGAACTGCCTGCATTAGTTCAAGTCAGCTGCTCCACTTCAGATCCAGCTCCCTGCTGATGCACTTGGGCAAACAGTGGAAGATGGAACAAGTGTTTGGGCTGCTGCATCCATGTAAGCAAACCTGGCTGAAGCTCCTGGCTCCCAGCTGGGGCCTGGCCCAGGCCTGGCCACTGCAACCATTTGGGGAATAAACCAGCAGACTAAGACTCTCTCTCCATCCCTACCTCCTCCCCTGTCTCTGCCACTCCCTTTCTCCTCCCTCTTTCCCTCTTTCTGTGAAACTCTGCCTTTTAAATTAATAGATTTAAAAAAAAAATCACACACATGGGGGTTTCAAGAGGTTCATGGAAAATCTTTACCATCCTGCAATTCTATTTTCCATGATTTTTTTTTTAACTGCCTCTTCATCTGCCAGAAGCAGTAGACCTTTACTCTAAGAGCTTATACCCAATTCAGAGAGACATGGCTTCTGAATGGTCTTCCCTAGCTTATGCTCAGAGCGAATGGCACTAAGTTGGGATGCCAATTTGTTCTGTTCTCGCTGGCTGGTAGCCTGTTCTGGATCTTATCGATTACCTGTGAACTTGTACCTGCGGGCTCCAACCAATTACAGGCTCTGATTCTTTCGTAAAGCTCGCTCCCCCTTCCCAGCATGCACTGAGATTCTGAGTTAGTGTCACCCAGACAGAGCCCTGCCACCAACTGAGCGATGCACCCCCCACCAAAGCTCCAATCATCCTCCCTCAGGACCCCCAAGGAGCCAGAGCACTAAGCTACAATGCTGTTAGTATGAAGGGAAGCACAGCCCCATCACCATGCATTGCAGACTGGCTGGGATATTTACTTGTGATTGGCATCGGCTGTGATGGTCTCTGACTTCCCATTTGTAGCACTGCTATGTAGGAACAAATAAGCATTAATGGGAACGGAAACAAATCAAACAATAACAATGAAGTGGAGTTGCAAAATATACTTGAATGAATGGTAAATCATAAATTGGATACAGGAAACTTGAAGTGGTTTTAAACCAAAAAAAAAAAAAATGGGCAACGATGAAGCATGAGGACAATGTGGCATGGCACCGAGTAAGCTTGTTGGAAGACAGAGCCTGGGAGCGGCCTTGGGCTATGGAACCGCCATTGCTCCTGCTTATACAGGAGACATCAGTAAATTCTAACTCCCAGAGTTCTCTGGGGCTTCTGTGCTCTTAAAGACATAGCAACATGTCTGTCATTTAAGTACAGAAACACTGAATGATTTTCTTAGAAGGGGCAAGTCTAACCAGTCAATGGTCTTACATCAAAAATTACACTTAAAACAAAGGCCTGTTCTTGGCATTTAGAACGTCCATCCTTGGCTTCTTACAAGGCCAAAACCTTTCTGAAGCTTGAATCAGTCAATGCAACCGGCATTCCCTTCCCTTGGTGGCATCTTCGTCGGCGACCTAAGACCTGAAACGGCCATGGGGAGAGCTGCCAGGGCCTTCGCCGCACAGGCAGCCTGCAAGGGGCGCCTGGGATGGATCTCACACATTCTCTTGTAGTGAGGCCACAGATACAGGAGCAGCAACAAGCACTCCCTGCGGCTGTGAGGGACTTGCTGGTGGCACAGCATGTTGCTAATGGGCTTTAACCACGAGCCTAGACAAAGAATTATCTTTGTAAGACTCTTTGGGAGGAGTCATTTCGTAACATTGTGGGGATGTCTCCAAAAGAGAGAGAGAGAGTCAGAAGAGACTCCTCTTTAAAATAAAGCTGTCTTTCTATTTCTAATGGGCAAAACTGAGTGGTTATTTCCCATCAGGAAATGAGCACACAATACAACTCTGCTTTTTTAACTAAGATCTAGAAATACATCAGACAGAGAGGAGAAGGAAATTCTAGGGACAAAAGGAAGGAGAGCAGTCACACAAAAAGAAGAGAGAGACTTACCGGGGAATTGCGGGCAGGCGAGAGCCATTTTCATCTATGAAGTGGCCCCCTGCATTGAGCACCCAGCAGTGATGCAGGGACATCAGCGCGTGCCTGGCAGTAGTCGGGTTGTCCTTGCCATTCTGACTGTCTGCATTCTTGAGCGGGGAAAACTCATCTTCCCGTAACACCTCATACACCACAAACCTCCTGCGGGGAAACCAGACAAAGACTTCTTTCTTCGGAAATTAAACCGTACCCACGGCTTCTGACTCCTCGCTACAGTCAGACCTTCTGCTTCAATAACTTCATCCAATTTCAGATGAAGGCTGTCTAAAATAATGTTCATCCGGAACTCAAGGATGTTGGAATTGTGCTCTCCTCTGAGAAATGAGAAATAACTTCTACCTATAAGACACGTCACTTTAGAGCTGAATGACTGGAAATATAAAGGCACAAAGATCACATTGGCATCTGGTCTGGAGAGGAAATGCAGGCCAAAAGGCTGTAATAGAAATGTACATGAGGGCCCGGCGTGGTGACGCAAGTGGTTAAGGTCCTCGCCTTGCATGCCCGGGATCCCATATGGGTGCCGGTTCTATCCCGGCAGCCCCGCTTCCCTTCCAGCTCCCTGCCTGTGGCCCGGGAAAGCAGTCGAGGACAGCCCAAAGCTTTGGGACCCTGCACCCACGTGGGAGACCCGGAAGAGGCTCCTGGCTTCGGATCGGCATAGTATCAGCCGTTGCGCTCACTTGGGGAGTGAATCATCGGACGGAAGATCTTCCTCTCTGTCTCTCCTCTCTGTATATCCACCTTTCCAATAAAAAAAATAATAATAAAAAATAAATCTTTAAAAAAAAAGAAATGTACATGAGATTACTCATATACATCATTTTTCTTCTCCATTTTCATAGTGGGCAAATTCTGATGCATACATCTCCGCATCCCGAGTGTTTATAGAAAGCTACAGTTACAGGCAATAAGAATATATTCCACACACAAAACGGGTCACTTTCTTACTTCAGTTTCATTAATCTCTCAGCCAAAAAAAAAAAAAAAATTAGTAACTTTACAGGACAAATAACGGGCTAGCTGATATGAAGTAAGAAACACTCTTCACCCACGCAGACCATACTGCTGGAGTGCTCGTTTATACAAAAGGCTGCATCTAAGTCACTTGCACATACTGTCAAATGTTTCCTAAAAATAATTTCTTAAAGGCAAAAAGCTATATTTCAAGACATCTATGTAAGCTTACTAGTGCTATTCAAAGCATACTTTGCAAACTGGAAGATGTCAAAGACAAATTTCTCCATCTTTATTCCATTTGGTTTGTCTGGCTTGATTAACTGCCCCTTGGAATCCACATACGGAATCTTCTTTTGAGCCACATGATGCTGCAACTGAGGTTCATAAATACTAGGAAATAAAGGGGAAAAAAAGACATAATTACTTTCCAAGATTCAAACTACCAGAAAATCTGATTAGAGTCAAAAACAAATGGCATCAACAATCAGGACTGAGATTTTAAAGGAACGCTTTAGCTCATGCTTCAATATCAATCAACAGATGACTTCCACATTAACAAAATACATGCACAGGTCCCAGCGTGGTTGCCCAGTGGCTAATGTCCTTGCCTTACAACCACCGGGATCCCGTATGGGCACCGGTTCTAATTCTGGCTGCTCCACTTCTCATCCAGCTCCCTGCTTGTAGTCTGGGAAAGCAATAGAGGACGGCCCAAAACCTTGGGACCCTGCACACGTGTAGGAGACCCAGAAGAAGCTCCTGGCTTCACACTGGCTCCACTCCAGCTATTGGGGCCACTTGGGGGGTGAACTAACTGATGAAGATTTTTTTCTGTCTCTCCTTCTCTCTATAAATCTGACTTTTCAATAAAAATAAATAAATCTTTAAAAGAAAGAAAAGAAAAAGAAAATACACAGCAGACTCAAATTAGTGCCTTACTCATAACTTGCATATCTTTTATAAAACGTTTTACTCTTGGCCCTAATTTCCCCGGCCGAGATCCTTTCATGTGTGGAAAGGACATAATAAACGTTAAAAGTTACGAATAATAAAGTAGAAGACAGCTACAAACAAGAAAAAAGAATGGCAAACATTTTGGAACTGGATTTGAAATTCTAACGCACAGCTTAACAACATTTCAAAAGCTGTTCATCTTGAATGCCTAACCCAATCAACCGAATCAGAGTGAGAATATCCTTCACTATAAAACTCTGGTGAAGTAAAGCAGCCCTGACTGTGTCCTCTGTGGCAATACCATGCTGATTTCCTTCACACAAGTCTCAAGTTTATTCTTTACTTTTTAAACATACTAGTTCCTAAATGCTAGTCTGGAAGCAGCAGAATTAAAATGGGCAGTATTATAAAAACATAGATGTGCTGTGTCACCCTACACAAATTCTGATTCAGTTGATATAGGGTAGACATCTATTTTTTAAAATGTTTTAATTTTCACTTGTTTTTTTCTGAAAGGCAGAGAGATAAAGACAGACTGAGAGAGATACTGCACCCATTGTTGCATTCTGCAAATGCCTTCAGCACTGGAGCCAGGACAGGCCAAAGCCAGGAGCCTAGAACACACGCCAGACTCCTAACCGGGTGGCAGGGACCCAGGTGTCTGACCCATCACCTGCTGCCTCCCAGGATGTGCGCTAACAGGAAGCTGGATTGGCTGCAGGGGTGGTAAACCAACCCGGGCATTCTGATATCTAACGTGGACAGTCTACGTGGCGTCATAACCACGACTCCTGATGCCCACTCCCATGTATATTTTTAAAAATCCCAGTTAAGCTAGAGTTTCACTTCTTATTCTTTGTCTCCACAGACTGTTGCATACAGCTGGGGCAGGGGTGGGGGATGGGGTGGGGCAGAGGATGGAGTGTGAGAGGAAACGCTTTAGACTCTAGTTAACACACTGGAAAAAGGTACTTACCAATTGCCACTTTAAATCTTACTAAAAACAATCACAACGCAAGACAAAGTTCCACTTTAAAAGTGATCCTGGGACAAGCATCTGGCATAGCGGTTAAGACACCCTAGGGCCTGAATCGCATAGCACAGCACCTGTGTCCAAGACCCAGTTGGGTTTTCAACTCTAGTTTCCTGAAATTCAGACCCAGGGGCCAGCCCAAAGACTTGAAACCAAGCGGAAGACACAGATTAAATTCTGTGCTCTTTTGCAATTGGTCAGCTCAGCCCCAGTTATTTGCAAACCTTCTGAGTGGTGAACCAGTGGATAGAAGATTCCTCTCCGCCTATCTTTCTGCCCTCAAATAAATTTAAATAAACACACACACATACATAAACAGAAAGTGATCCTCAATGAAGATGAACTCTGTAGGACAAGGAATTGTAAAGTGTCTACCTAAGATTCCAGAGGCTTAGTTTCTAATTCACATTAAAAGCAACTGTAAAAGGCACCCCCATCTTGCCCGTACTTGACAACATCTTTCAGAAACGGCACAGTGAAGAAATGGTTGGCAATGTTCCCCGCGTTGAACATCAGTCGTCCATCCGAGCTTCGCTTCTGAGCTGTTGCCAGGGAGATCTCACTGTATTCGACCACCTGGTACACTCCATCCACGCGGCAGACCACCCCAACTGGTTCTGTAGGGTTGGTTTTCTCCACTACCTGTCATGGACGACAACAGCAACAAAAAGATAAAACTAGAGGAAGAAATTTTGACTGAATCCTTCTTCCACTGCCAAAGGCCACATTTACAATACTGCTTGCAACATCTTTCAGGTACTAAGATAAAAGCAACCTTTATAACTTTAGTCAACCAATTATCCATTGCTGGATTCCTGGGCAGGTTATACTCTTTTCTATTCATCACCCAACCATGTAGACGAGAAATTCCAACATAGCCACGGATCCCAGCAGAGATCATGTTCAATCAGGAATAATCAAGTGTAGTCCACAACTTCTAGCTCTTTTATATTATTTATTACTTAATTTATACTTAACTACGCTTACCTACTTGAAGAATAAATGAAATAAAAGTTCTTGGATTCACATGACAAAAGCCATCTTATTTCACACGGCCTAAAAGCAATCCTTCAGTTGAAAATAGCATTTCCTGCACTGTCATTCATAAATTCAGCAATGTCCCCATTTTGTAAGGGATCTTGATAAACAGGGTTAAGACAAATGACTAGGATCCTATTCCAACATCACAGAGATCCACTCGTATTACCTACTTCGCATATCAGATTTTGTTTGAAGAGATTATGCCTCAAAAAATTTTGAAAACTAGTGATTTGATGATTTTTCAATTGTTCTTGGCTGGTAGGAGACAGAAGGGAATGTATCAAAATTAGAGAGAAAAAGTAACTTGAGTATATAACTTAAAAAAGAAAAACAAAACTCCTCCCTGGGGCCAGTACTGTAGTATAGCAAGTTAATCCTCTGCCTGCGATGCCAGCACCCCATATGGTCCCAGCTGGCTTGAGTCCCAGCTGCTCCACTTCCCACCCAGCACCTTTCTAATGGGCTGGGAAAGTGGCAGGAGGTGGTCCAAGAATTTTGGGAGATTCAGAAAGGCTCCTGGCTTCAAAGCAGACCAGCTCCAGACATTGCAGCCATTTGGAAAGTAAAACTGTGGATGGGAGATCTCCTCGTCTCTCTCTCTCTCTTTCTTCTCTCTCTTTCTAGTAAAGTAAATAAATCTTTACCCGCCCCCCCCCCTAAAAAAAAGCCAAATTCCTCACTTATCCAGAATGACTATTTAGGAGACTATTATTAAAGAACTGCATGCAATGCACTATCATAAAATCAGGTTCAGATGAGATGAACAAAAGACTCAAACAAACAGTATAAATATTGTAAGGCATTCTTTTCTTTGTGTTGCCCAATAAACAATCCCACATGCTTCAGAGTACTTATAATATTTTGTCCCCAATCTCAAGTCTTTCCTGAATACACATGAAATTTCACCAAAAAAGCTTGTTGAGTAACTCATTTGCTTCGCAGTAGCAGCCTCTCAGCTGAGCAGAGCCACTAGAGCAAAGTTCGTTCACACCGCAATTAAAGATGCAGGCACCGAGTCAGGCTCAGTGAGTCAGGGATCCTGAGGGTACACAGACTGCTGTGTAGTTTCGCTGCTTGTCACACTGCAAGGAGCACAGTATTCAATGAAAGGAAACTCTCTAAAGGAAATGGATGAAACTGGAAGGAAACACAATACAGCAAAACGAATGAAGGCAATCACAAGCCTATTTGCAATTTATGTTGATCAACCTATCACCACCTACTGTGGTCACAGCCTACTGTGGGCAACTGACTACACAAGAATTTTAGAATGCATTCCTCCCATTTGCATTTTTTTAAGGTACACACGAATTACTTTCCAAGTACCTCTATGTGCCCCTTCTCACAACCAGCCATAGCAAATAAAACTAAATAAATTCACAATTTACAAGTCCCCAAGCTAATATGCCATTGAAAGATTTACTTCTATGAAAACTCTTGACTTCCAAATATTACAAAGTTACAGAAGAAAACATTGGAAAACTGCACAAAAGGTAAAGCTAGTTTACATAGTTTAGTTTGCCCTAGGAGGCCCAACTCTGGATGAAGTTTACAAACCGTATACCAAGGCCAGCCCAAACGCTTGAACTACCAGCAAATGCATCACATGTGATGTGATGTAACACTTAGACCAGGAGTTGAAAAACGTGAATTTTTTAAAGAAAGATTCATTCATTTATTTGAAAGGCAGAAAGAGAGAGGAAGATTGGTTCATTCTCCAAAGAGCTATAAATGGCAGGGACTGAGTCAGGCTGTCAGAGGAGCCTGGAACTTCATCTGAGATTCCATTGTGAGCGACAGGGTCCTAAGAACTTAGGTCTTCCTCTGCCTCTTTCTCAGACATGTCAGTCTAGGGAATGAGACAAAGTGGAGAGGCCAGGACTAGAAATCGGCACTCATATAGAATGCCAAAGTCACAGGCAGCAGCTAAGCCAGTTCCATCACAATGTCAGTCCTGAAACACATGATTTTATTTTTTAAAGATTCATTTATTTATTTGAAAGGCAGAGTTAGAGAAGGAGAAACAGCGAGGCAGAGCTCTTCCATCTGCTGGTTCATTCCCCAAATAGCTGCAACAGCCTGAGCTGAGCTGAAGCATAGAGCAGAGAGCCAGGAGCTTCTTCTGTGTTTCCCCATTGGCTGCAAGGGCCCAAGAACTTGCCATCCTCTATTGCTTTCCCAGGACAAATCAGAGAGCTGGATGGGAAGTGGAGCAGCTGGGACTTAAATGGACACCCACGTGAGATACTGGTGCCACAGGTGGAGGCTTAGCCTACTATACCATGGCACAGCTCAGAGAACAGATACTTTTACTAGGAAAATAATGTTTACATCAACATTTCTAACTCTTGTAAAATGTTTAAATTCTAGTATGTTTCCTATATACTACATAGTTTGTTGCCACAAAGGAATAACTTCTATACTGTCTCCTATGTTGAAAGGAACAGTGCCAAGGACAGTTTTGTTATATAGTATTACAAACCTCCATCCATGCTAATACTCGTGCTGTAGTACTGCAGAAGCCATTCATTTCCTGAACTGTTCCTGCTGCCAACCTGCATATTTTCACCATAAGGACACCGCAAGAGGCAAGTCCAAATACGTTCTTTCCACCACATTTCTCCTACCTATCACTACAGAAACTTAACTGTAGAAAAAAAAAAAGAATCCAATTGAATACAATACGATCCTAATGACGACCATGTACTTTCTCTGGTGCTGACAAATAACCCTCACGTACTTCAGACTTTTCCTTGGGATTGACAAGTATACAACACCGTTTCTAGAATGAAGTATCGCCAACTTAAGAAAAAGGGCAGGGAATGGCTCTAAAACACTCAGATCATCCTAATCAATTCTAATCTGCCTGCTGGCGTTACCTTCGCCCCGCAGTCAGCTCCTTTCTGGATGCAGAAGCCAATGAAGCGTGGGTCTGCCACCTTGACGAGGATGTTGTCCACACAGTAGACATGAACGATCCGGAGGCCTCTCCGCTCCATGTCCTCCACAATGCTCTCAGCTGCCAGGGCCCGGTACAGCCCACCATTGCCATCTGCAAAAGGTAACAGCCCATCGGTAGCGCACCAAAGCCCATCATTACGGTCACCCAAAGATTATTTAACGTTTCCAAACTAAGGTGAAGATCTCTGAGAAAGTTTCTCTTTACAGAGAAAAGAAAAAAAAATCCTAAATATCCATAAGACAAGATCCAGCTGTCAACATGCTTAAGCATCCAGAAAATTCAATTATTAATGCAGGATAGCCAACATGAAAGATGACACTTTTTTTTAAACTCATATCTTTTGAATGTTTATTTTAAAACATAAAACCTATGCTGATTAGGTAATAGTTATTTGACACCTTAGTAACACAGGCAGGAATCAAATTAGTTTTTTTTTTATTAATAATCACCTCAATAATTTCATGCATCTCAAAAATAAAAATACAAAAGCATTCTAAACCAAATAATATTTCCAAAGTTTCAACTATCTACTTGAAAGGCAGAGAGGGAGGGGAGAATCTTATTCATCAACAGGTTCACTCCCCAAATGGCCAAAATAGTGGAACCAGCCCAGCTGAAGCTGGAAGCCTGGGGCTTCTAAATCTCTCACATGGCTCAGGTGTCTAAGCACTTGGGCCATATTCACTACTTTACCAGGTGTATCAGCAGGGAGCTGGACCACAGGGAAAGCAGCCAGGACATGAACTGGCACCCACGTGGAATGGAGTGCCACAGGAGGCAGCTTTACCCCAATCCTAAACCAAATGACTTTTAAGGACCTATATGTACACAAAGGCCTTGGTCATTTAGGCTACACGTAAGTAAAAACTTCTTCTCTCTCCACCTATTTTCAGCAACGAATTTTTGTGCACTTCTTCCATCAACAACTATCCCTTAAGGGATAAGGAAAGATTTTTAAAAGGTTCATAAACTACAGCTAGGAAGAGTGAACTATCCTATTAATGAAAAAGAGTTTAGACAAAAGTTTAAAAAACTCAGATGAAATAAAAGCCTATCACCTGGACAGCACCGCCATTAATATTGCTTATTTCACTTCAACCTTTCTTCTGAGCACAAATTCATATAAGTTCATTTGTACGGTTAAGATCATATTTGGCATGACCATGCATGACTACATGAGTGGTACATTGCTTAATCCTAGTTGAACGCTTTCAGTAAAAACATCACACACGGAATGCCTGGAATTGGGCAAAGTGGTGGCCCAGATTGCAGGGTATGCAATCTCAAGCGCATTTACATTCTGCTAATCTATTGAAATCATTCTTCTTAATCATTTAATATCCCCAAACAATTATTTGAACATTACTTATCAACTAATGCTATTTACAAATAACTTAACACTTCATTTATTAGATAGCTTCCTGTTTTCATCTATAGCATGATCAAAGTGAATATATTGAATGCTGCTCGAATTAATAGACATTCACCAAAAATATAAAACTTTATCCAGCCAAACAATGGGCACCTTCATCTTTTTAAATAACTGTTGGGGGGGGGTGGTTATCCTTGTGACACACAGCTTCCCATTTTGGACTGCCAGTTCAAGCCCCAGCTGCTCGGTTTCTGATGCAGCTTCCTGCTAATCAGCAGTGGGAGGCAGCAGACAGTGACTCAGGTTCTGCAGCCCTTGCCCTCCCGGTGGGAGACCGAGATGGAGTCTCCAGTTTATATATTTATGTATTATTACACTGATTTTTAACACACAAATCACCATATTAAGAAGGAAGTCACCATTTAAGGATTTACATGATGGTCATTTCTAGTCACCATTAAACAAGGATTATTACAAACCTGGAGCCATAGAAAGTTTATTCTTCTCTTCCAAAATAACTTTCCCATCAAAACTCATAGCAGGAAGCATTCCCTGCTGAAAAAAGATCACATTCTCCTTTTTTAAACCAAAGTACTTGTGCTTTGTGAAGAATTCTTGTGTAGATTCCATTGTTCTGCCACTGGTCATTATATACCTGACAAGAGAAAAGCAGATCTTCTAAGCAAGGCTACTATGAGCATTTGGGCAACGTACAGTTCTATTTCCGAAAGAAAATCTTGAAGAACTCTTGCTTCTTATTTTCACTTCCCTCACCTTCTCCTGATAGGACACAATGATCAGCAGCTGCACTATAAGAATGTCTTCCTACAATTTCATCAACCCATATGCGCAAAATTATCTAACGATATTAAACACGCCTCCCTCAACAGTAAACCCCTACGGCCTACAGAGATACTTTAGAACTCAGTGAAAGTATTTTCTACACTTAAAACTATTGTTTTAAGCAAATCAGAAGAAGGGAGGAATCGTAATACAATCCAGAGACCTCTCGAGATTATTTTTATCCAATTTTGAAAAGGAAGCTGGACTCTGCTCACCCTCCATTTAGAGTAAGAGTGTAATTACACTCTGCTGTCACAAAACTCCAACTCTTGCTAGTGTGACAAAATACAGAAAAAAAAAAAAACATCTATAGCCACAATTAGTGACTGCGGTAGTTTTTGCCTTCATTAGAGAAATCATAGCGAAGCAGGGCTTTTGTCTGCACTGTTTACTGATTTAGCCCCAGCACCTAGAAACAGGTCATTGATATTTGTGGAGTGAATACATGACTGAAGAAAAGGGTAAAATCTGCCATCACCATCATTAACTATCTAATAAATCATTTTAGTTGTTTAGAACTTTGGGTACAAAAGATATAGGCTTGACCTAGAAGATTATAAAAGAGATAGCTACAGTCCCCTTTGTAAGCAAACAGAAAGTGTGGGTTGCATGAGGCCAATGCTGCAAGCAGAATGCAGGCTGCTTAGAACACAGATATTCCTCCAAATCCCCCACGGGAATCAGTCTGGGAAAAAAAAAATGGGTTCACAGTGAGCTAGTGTTCATGCTGGAAAGAACTAGAAAAGCTGGGAACATTACAGGGATTGGAATCGAAATTCCAGACAGTGTGACTCTTTCAGAGGGAACTGAAGGACACACAGCTGCCTGGTCCCCAAGGCATTTGCCGATCTGTAGGTGCAGGTTAGTGGCAGAGAATCTCAGCTTCGCCCACAGACTGCCTCTGGGGGAACAGAAAAGCCAGCAGCGATTTTGTTGGCCACATGGGACGGAAATAGCAAGAACAGAGAAATAGGGAATCTGCCACACACAATTATTGCCCCTCGAGTGATTTTCAGAACTGCTCTGGGAAAGACGGTAAAGACAAAACACTTCTAAACCGCAGAGCAAAACTCATGCCTAGGAGACACATACTGAGCAAGCAGGCGCTGAGATAATGCCATACTAATAGAGAAGGACAACAGAAACGTGGCCCTTGGCAGACAGATCAGTGCAGCCCCCACGTGAAGCTCACGTGGAATAGAGGAGAGCCTGATGATAGGACTGGAGCAGCACGCCCACGTGAAATGCAAACAGTCCGAGCGCTGGTTTGCTCGGCAGTACCACAACACTGGTCCCTGTACATTACTTTCAACGTGTGACCTTATCTCAAAAGTATGTGAAAAGTGGAATTAAAACATAATTTTTCTCTTGGGGAAAAGAAAAAATTTGAAGTCATATACAAAAAAATCTTCATAAAAGGTCACAGAAAATGTGTACTGTAAAAAAAAACTAAACTTGGATCTCAAAAAATCTTTTTGCTCCAAAATAAATCTTTCTTTAAATCATGTTTTGCTAAGAGTTTTCAAAAGTATCAAATTTGGCCCGGCGCAGTGGCGCAGTGGTTAAAGTCCTCGCCTTGCACACCCGGGATCCCATATGGGCGCCGGTTCTAATCCCGACAGCTCCACTTCCCATCCAACTCCCTGCCTGTGGCCCGGGAAAGCAGCAGAGGACGGCCCAAAGCTTTGGGACACTGTACCCACGTGGGAGGCCCGGAAGAGGCTCCTGGCTTCGGATCGGCATAGTATCGACCCGTTGTGCTCATTTGGGGAGTGAATCATCAGATGGAAGATCTTCCTCTCTGTCTCTCTTCTCTGTATATCCGCTTTACAATAAAAAATAAAATCTTTAAAAGAAAAAGTATCTTCATATATCATAAATGTGAAGCTCCCATATAAATCGGTAGTATCTGGAAACATGTCTGTTTATGAATAGCACAGATATATAATTGAATTATTATAGAAAAGCATATGTTCCGACATACTCCCACAATGACACATAGCTTACCATGGAATGACGCATTTGTTGCCATAACATTTTTCAGCTAACTGCTGGAGCTTCAGGATACGCTCCGCTTGAATCTGAAAAAGTGTCTTGTGAGATGGCAAACCAACATCATACATGCCCTTGGGATATGCAACGCCAAGCCTCGTCCCCTGCCCACCAGCTAGAAGAAGGACTGCCACTTTGTTCTGAGAAATCTGGAAAAGTCCTAGAAAAGAAAATACTTGTATCACAAAGCTGCTAAAGCAACACTTCAGTATGAAGCATATACAGGTAGCAGCAAAGACCTACAATATTTCTACAAAGACAAAGACAGCAAGATATCCACACACAGTCATGGATGACTATCTTATTACTAGAAACATGAATATTACCAAAACGACTAAATTGATATAACACCACTAAATACCAAACAATTAAATGATGGGTATATTTCAATGAGCTGATAAAACCTTTTCTGATAACTTCGGGAGGAACAGAATGTTCTACAAGAACTGGACTATATACTGGAAGAGGTCTGAAAGTCAACAAAAAGGATAAAAGAAGATACAAGGGTTTTAGAATGAATGATGATACTATTAAATTACTTTCAGCCTATAAAAATCAACCAATAATAAATAATCAATGTGTTTGAAATATATGAAACAAGTTACTGCCCTGTCAATACAAAAAAAAGAAACTTTAGGGTGGGCCTCAGAACAGGGCATCTTGCTAGGATTCTGACTCCAGCCACCACGTGCACGTGGTGAGCTCTCCCCAGGCCTGCCTGGGCTCCAGGGGCTGCTCCCTTCGAGGTGAGTACACTGAGGGGGAAGTCTCCGTGGCTGGGTAGGTCCAGGGCCCACCCACCACCCACATTGAGCTGTGAATGGTATTGGGGAGGGGTGCGACCTTGGGCCTGGGGGTTAAAACTTCCAGTAGCCTCCCGGCTGCTGGTGGGCCTCAGGATGGGGCGTCTTGCTCGGATCCCGTCTTGCTTGGATCCCGACTGCAGCCACCACGTGCACGTGGTGAGCTGTCCCTGGGTGGCCAGTGCTTCATTTGGTGTCAGGCTCTGCCTGCTGGCTGCCTGGCCAGGGAGCTCTGGGGTTTTGGTTCTTTGAATCGCTGCTTAGGTAGATCCAGGTTGATCCCACTGTGCTTCTAGGATGCGAGTCAATCCTAAAGATTCCCAATGACAGTAACTCTTCCTTGGAAGAACTTGTAATCACTTCACAATGCTGAGCACGGAACAGCAGCTCATGTAAAAGCCAAGGGTCGGGGCTTGTCCAGCAGGATATGCTATTGCCTGACATGATGATGGATCAGCAGACGGGTCACATTAGGCAGGGCCATGACATTAACTAGCACTTGAGAACCATATCCAGGGGTAGATTCTGTGGGGGATGTGAGGGCCGCACCCTGAGAAAATTCTAGCCCCACTGATTACCTCAAGAGTTGGGGTGGTGATGGACTAAGCCAGGTGTGATCAAGGAGCCTGCCATCAATCAGAGGTAAAGGAACCCACAACAGTCTGGACTGGTCAAGGCAGCAGCACCCGAATGTGCATCCTGAATAGGGTGTGGGGTGGGCCGGGCTGCAACATTCACCAGTTCATACATGGCCAAATGGAAGGCCAGATTGCGCCCGGCACTGGCCTAAAAGCCCATTGGCATGTACGAGAAATGGGCCGGGGAGTAGATCAAGTGGAGGAACTTGGGAAACTCCCCTGGTGAGTCATAGCTCCCACTTGAACATGTGGTCCAGACCTGGGGGTCGGACAAGCTGGGCAAGTAACTCAAACATTTGGCTAATGTGTCAATTGGTAATGGAATGGAATGCACTAGGCAGGACTGAGCAAACCTTAGCCTACAAACTAAACTAGAAACCAGGATGGAGCACAAGTTATTACGAGCTAGGCTCTTGCATCTACTAGTCTGCGAGTGTCAGGGACGATAAGCCACAGTGTCTAAGGCAGGGGTCAGGACAGGTGAGGGGATGATCCAAGCTAAGTCAGAGCAACCACTACCATGCACCTGATCTATGACTGGGAACAGGCCCGACTGGGGAGCTAAGGAGACATCATAACTGGGTTGAGGCTCCCACCAAGGGGCACAGTGGCTAGAATGGGGGATGCGTTCTAATCTCGGTTGTAGTCTCCTTTGGCACTAGTGTGGACAGGGACTGGATGCACCATGCCGGGCCAGACCCCAACACCGTCTGGTGTCCTGGAGGACCAGGGTAGATGTGGGATGGACTAGGCTAGGTCTCAACCCCTGCTGAGCCATATGTGAGCCATATGTGGGTATGGACGAGCCACAACTGGGCTGAAACATTCAACAGCAAGAACCAGATTGGGTTGAAGGCCAGTCAGGAAAAGCCACTGCTCCTGCTAGGACAGGAGGTAAACCAAGTAGGTCTGGCTCATGGAACCTCTGGTATGCACAAAAGCTGGCATTGGAAGGGGTCCTGATGGAGGAACCTGGGCAACTCCTCTGGCAGGACACAGTCCCTGCAGGTAAGCACAAGAAGCATGATAGAAAACAGCCCAGAACAGCCCATGGAAAGTTTCCCACTGGCTTACATTTAGCATGGGTCGGGAGCAGACCAGGCTAAATCTGTCCACATCATCCACTGGCAAATCTGAGCACAGAACAGAGTGTGAGTCGGGCCAGGTTCGGTCATGACAAAAACCAGGGCACAATAAGGAATGCCAAGGTGAGGTTGCCTGTACCAGATGTGACCACAGCGCCCAACCAGCATGCGTGAGAACCAGGAAGGGAGGGGGCAGAGCCAGCAGGGGAATAAGGGAGGGTCCCCTTGCCGGACAGCTACTCCCACTGGAGAGTGTGGGCTGGGATGGGGACAGACCAGACTAAGCAGGGCTACAACACCTGTGCGCCTCATGTGGACTTGATCAGGGAAAAGCCAGGCTGGGCTGATTATTCCTACTGGTGCAAGCATAAATTAGAGTGGGTGAGGATTGTTTGGGCTTAGCTGCAGCATCAGGTGGCAGAAGCTGGCACTGGGGGCTAATTCTGTCAAGTCAAACCACAGAACCACCTGTAGAGTGCATAAACCGGAAGTGAGAGGGACCTGGGAGGCAAATAGTGGGCTCTTCCCTCTTGGGTTATCACTCCCACGGAAGGGTATGAAAACTAGGACGGGGGCTGGGGTGGCAAGACAGAGAGGCACTCAACAACATCCGTGAGGGCTGGATAGTTGAGCTGGTTGGATGGAACTAAGCTTCAATACCCACTGACATGTACAAGAGTCAAATGGGACTGGTCTGCTACACATACTGCCATACCAGGGTAGGGGGCGAGCCTGGTGGGGGTTATTGTGGGTCGCCCAGACTAGGCTGCAGCTCCCACTGGTTTATATGAGGGCCGAGTATGTGCTGGGCAGAACCAGGGTGGACTGCAACACCTATTGGTTCCAGTGGAAGTCGGGACTGAAAACAGAACCAACCCAGCAATTGCAACCACCAGCTGATCATGGCGATGGACTGTGCCAGGCCCTGTGCTTGCTAGAACACACAAACATCTGGACTGGAATATCTCAAAGTTTCTTTGGGGATCTCCCCAATAGAAATGCCAGACGCAGAACCCTAACCAAGAAAAGACAGAGGACAGAACAAGTCAATCAACCCCCTCAGCCATGTGTTGGCAGCGAAATATTGGGCAAATGGAGATTCTATGATGGACTATGTCAATCAGTGGATTCTTCAATGATCTCATCGTGCTTGGAGTGGTGAGACTGACAGCAATTCATAACTGGTGAGCTATCAAAACCACTTGAGCAAATATGTCAGAGCACGCCCCACATCCGGGACTTGGGGTGGGTGGGAAACTGGGTGGGGCTTCTCCCTTAATATCCCCCTTTACCTCAGATACATGAAGGAAACAATATGGAAATAATAGTCCTTCCCACTTCCCAATAGCCCTTGAACCTTTTTACCCTAATTAACTATGTAAAAAGATTGTCAAAACTATAATAATAATTAAAAAAAAATAAACTTTAGGGTCAGCATTGAGGCATAGAATGTTAAGCCACTGCCTGTGACACCAGCATCTCACGTTGGGACCCTGGTTCAAGGCCAGGGTGCTGTACCTGCAGTCCAACTCCCTGCTAATGTGCCTGGCGAAGCAGCTCAGGATGGCCCAAGCATCTGGGCCCCTGCTAGCAGATGGTGCTCCAGGCTGCTGCCTGTGGCTGACCAGCCCTGGCCATTGCAGCCCTTGGAGGAGAGAACCAGTAGATGGAAGAGCTCCTTCTCTGTGTTTCTCCTCTCTGTCACTGTGCCTTTCAAATAAACACAAATTTGAAAAGAAAAGAAACTTTCAGTTAGGAAGTCAGTATGACATAATGGTTAAGCACCAGACTCTGAAAAGGACACCCGGTTTTAAAGTCAAATCAAATGAAGAGGCTGGGGAGAGGTTGGGGGAATCACCCACGAAGCGTATTTTGAAAACTTTTTAGGCAGTTGGAAATGTTCTGTATCAAAATTACACATTTTATTATTTATTACTATACTTCAATAAAATCAGTTAAAATATTTTTTAATGGGCCATCTAGAGAAGCTCAGAATGATTTTGAGACTCAAGAGTCTATTATAGATTTATTTCTTCTGTCCAGAACCTGGTAGTTTCCACCCATCATTAGCAGATATTAAACATGATGCTTGAACAAGAATGTTATCCTTTGAACCAAAATGAATTCAAGTCAACGTTCTCCCTAAATTCCCAAATACTGAAATCCTTCACCACATTCTGCGTTTGTGTGCACCTTAGCAAGCCCATAACTATCATGTCACAAATATGAGACTAAGATCTAAAGGAACAGGGAACCATATGAATCGTATTTGAAAATTGTTCTACATTTGATTGTTGGCCTGGGGCTAAGAAAACTATAGTTTCTAGGAAATAAATTTAGTTCTGCTGTCACTGACTCACAAAGCATTGTATTAAAATAAGTCCACAATCCCTCAGGTCAGATTTACTCACCATGCAGAACTCTTAAAAATGTAGAAAAGGACTAGAGTGCATGTGCAGGATCTTCAAAAAAGCTCATGTGAAGTGCAGATCATAAAAAAAAATAGGCAAGATTTCAAAGCTATTCTTCACCAAACAAAATATGTATTATTTATTGGAAAGGCAGGTGACGGAAAAGAGTGGAATAGAGGAAAGAATCTTCCATCCACTTATTCATTTCCCAAAAAGCCTCCAA